TATAGCCCCTCAGTCATCATAGTCCATTTTCCATCTCTGTTTCCTTTCATTAACTATCCCCATGCCTAGAATATTCTCCCTCTTACCTTTTAGTTTCCCTAGCTTCCTTCAAAACTCAGCTCAAAGCTCTCCCTTTAAAAAGGAATTTCCCTGTCCCCCCACCTGCCAGTGCCTTCCTCTCTGAGATTACCTGGATTTATTATGTATATAGATATTTAAACTTAGTCTCCCCCTTCATAATGTAATCTCCTTGAGGACAAGGGCTTTGGGGGGTCTCTGTATCCTTGGTGCTTAGCACAGTGCCTGGCATATAGTAAATACTTAATAAATGTTTGTTGACTCATATGGAGGCACCATTTTATAGTGGAAAGGACTTGATTTGGAGGCAGATATTCTATGTTTGATCCTGCATCTACTACTCACAATGTGTGTGACCTGGAGCAAGTCTTTTTCAGGGTCTCAATGCCTTATCTGTAAAAATAAGAGGAGGGGAGAATTGACTAGATGACCCCTAAGGTCCCTTCTAAATCTGCTTATTTCTTAAATTTTGACAACTAAACGCTCTGTAAGGGTTATCCAATGTTGATATTGCAGCAAAACATACTAATATTTATATCTGAGTCAGCACTAATAACCAAGTTTTTTCCTTCTACTGCACACCTGCATCACCTTAGCTAGTCTAGGCAGATTCAAGCTGCAGGCAACTCTATTCAAGTAGCCAATTCTAAGAATGTCCTATCTCAGCCAACCTTGTCTAGCCCAAGGCAAAACCGTGAAAGCAGAACTACAAATTAGACAAAGTTATTCTTCCATACCTGTTTCCCCATCCCACCCATTCTTACCCTCCAAAGTGACCACATATCCATTCTCCTTAAAATACCCTGTAACCTCACTGACACTCTCTTTTTCCTCTTATAAAATCTACTCTGACATTCTTCATTTATACTAAGACGTAAACGATTAGAAACCATTTAAAAAATTTTTTCTCTCAAAAGTATCCGCATTTTAACAAGGAGTAACATTTAAGTGAGAAGGAAGTTCGGAAGTGGTATTTCAGGCTTCATGTACAAAGGATAGATTTCCCATACCCCATTCAATATCAAAATAGACATTTGGGATGAGAAACTTGGGCCTTTATGGCCTACTTAAAATCATAGGATTCTAGATTTTGAGTCCAAAGACTCTTCAAAGGTCACTACTCCAACAGTTTCATTTTACAAATGAAGAAACAGAGGCCAAAGGAAGTTAAATGACTTGCCCAGGGTCACAGAAGTAAGCATCAGAGGCTTATACCCAGCTTATACGACTTTAGAAACAGTAGTCTTTCCTTATGGGTATAGGGTAGGTGTGGGTGACTACTGCTCATTTTACCCCATGAGTTCCCACCAGTGTGGTACTCATAAACAACCAACCAATAGACTCATTTACCTCTTAGAAAAGGCATTGCTTCAAATGGTATAGTGAGAAGAGTAGGTATAAAACATTGGGGGCTATCCCCCAGGATAGTCTTTCTAATCATATCACACAGATATCTGCATTCCTGCTACCCAGCACTAGAGGTTAAACTAAAAAGACATTTATAAATTGTTCTGTCTTGAAAGAATCACATAATATTAAGTTATTTTTCTGAATATCTATTCAAAATTGGTTTCTTTGCCCTATTTCTTTTCTTGTCATGTCTCCTTAGATAAAGCAATCTGACTCTTAAGGTATCTACCTTAAAAATTCAAATAATTCTAATTTTTAACTGATTTTATCTAAGTAACTAAGGCAAAGTTAGATTTGGTGACTCATTTATAACATCTGTATAGTTTGCCTTGACTACACTGGCTTTATGACTTGAGGCAAGTCTTTTGAACTCTATAAGCCTTACCTTTTTATGGCTAAAAATGACTATATAATATTATATATATACACATATATATATAATTACTCAATTTCCAAATGTGTTGTAAGAAAAATGTTCTCTCACCCTGAAAGCATTATATAAGTGTAAGTTATTCATTTGTATTATCTTATTCTCATCTTTTTCCATTGCATTTAGATGGAAATGGTCTTGGACAAGTCATTATACTGCTATTATTCTTTTATATTCTGTGTGTTGTATACTATTTTAAAAGTAGATTTAAAAAATCACTTTTTGTAATTAAATAAACTATTTGGATACAACTCAGCTTATATAAATTCACCTAAACATTTGGTACAATTGTTAAGTGTGGACAGGATGGTATACATGATAGTTATTTCATCTTGGTACCACATGATTTTGATTTCTTCTACTAGTCTTTCATTCTGTATAACTGGGAGATTATCAATATTTGGAATGGTGATATACATTAAAAATTGTTCTTAAATTTTTTTCATGGATCAGCAGGCATTGTAAGCTACAGTTCTGTCTGTGATAATCATCTGGTTCCAGGACAGTTTATTGGTTGAGATCTCCAGGATAGTTTTGATTTGGTAGTTGTAGGATGAGGGTTGATTGTAGGTTTATGAAAGATAATAAACTCACGAATAATCCTTGCCATAAGGTTTTGTTTTGCTTTGCCACACCCCCTCTTGTCTCACTCTCAACTCGTACTTGCACTGGCAGATTGGTTCTCCAGAGGGGCAACTGCTACACCAGGTTCTAAGGTGGGTGTATCTCATCAATCCCTACCAGTATGGTTCTCATCAACAATCAGCCAAGACACCCAAGCACCTCTTAGAAAAAATAGCAAGATGAATATTTATAAAACACCAAAAAATCTCTAACGCATTCTTCCATAAGGATACCCAGAGTGCGTGCATTGGGTGTGGGGAGGGAAATGGGCACAAACTTCAGATACAATCATGGTAAGGCACACATGATGGTAACATATGTGGTTAAGGCAACTTACCAATCCAGAACTTCAGGGAGTTCATGTTATTCTTCTCTCCAGAGTCCTTGCCAAAGTTTAGTGTCAGTGATAGCCATGCTAGGTTAGACCTAGGGCATGGTGCCTCTCCCGGATATATTGGGTCAGGCAAATCCCTTGGCTTCTGGACTGATATCTTACTGGGTGAGGCATCTGTACTAAGTAGGTCAATCTGCTGAACTCCCTGGGCTCACTCTTTGATGGACAATTGTGATATCCCCTCCCAGAGTCAGCTAGATTCTATTGTGCTCTTTCAGAAAGGGCAGAAAACTTTAGCCTTGGATCAGCAGAAGCCTCTCCAGGTCTGCTCCCTAAAGGCCTAAGCTATGATATGGTATCTCCCAGGCAAGGAATCAACAATCTCCTATTCAACAACTATTCCTAACTCAGAGCTAGGCTTCCTAAGTGGGAGACTATCCGGTTAATTTCCCAGATTCCTGTTCAATTTGTGAAAAATGGGTGGCTAGATATCAATTTTTTTGGAATCCCCTACATTCAGTTACACAACCCCATATGGGGTCATGACCCACAATCTAAGGAGCATTGGGGAAACTCAGGTGATCTACTTTCCTAGGCAGTTATAACCTCCCTAGTAAATTAATTAATTAGTATTCCAATTTACAAATCAAATCTTTTGTGAATTTGATCATGCTATCAGAACCTAATGTCCCCAAGATCACAGTTCTATTAGAACTGGAATCTAAGATGAGAGAGAAACAATCGTCAGTCTTCAAAAGAATGACTGATTATAAGGATGATACTGTTTTTGTGGCCAATAAATATTAATATTACTAGGGATGTAATAATAATATTAGGGATAATATTAGTATTGATTGTTAATAAGGATAATGTTAATAGTATTAATAGGGATTTGGTCACTTTAGATTACAGTGTTCCACGAATATCTAGTTTCTGTTTTGAAGAGTCAATTCTGCTCTCACCTCTCTTTCCTTCAACTAGCAAGGTGAGGAACCATGGCCCAGAAGAGAATTGCTGTGATTGGAGCTGGAGTTTGTGGCCTAGGTGCCATCAAGTGTTGCTTGGATGAAGACCTGGAGCCCACCTGCTTTGAAAGGAGTGATGACATTGGAGGACTCTGGAAATTCCAAGTGAGCTTCATTTCTCAAGATTTTTTAAAATACTACTTCTGTTCTATATAAAAGAGAACATCTCTGCTATTTCCTGTTATTTTTAGGTTTTGATTTGCCAGGCTAGTGTGGTATAGTGGAAAGAGTATTTGATTTGGAGTGAAAGGAGCTAGGTTCAAATCTCACCTCTCCAACTTGCTACCTGAATGACCTTAGACAAGTCAATTTATCTCTCTGGATGTGAGTTTTCTAATCTTTAAAACAAAGAAATAAAGCTAGATGACCTCTAAGACTCATTCAAGACCAAAACCTACGACTCTAAGATCTCTAAAAGTTGTTGGTTTCCTGTAAGTCATTTGTCCACTACCATAGGCAGTGAGTGGAACAGCCAGATTTTCCCTAGGCATGTGTTGGAATCCATAATGTCAGATCTATGCCTCAAAGTTCATATAAGAAGAAACACCATCAAGGTGGAAGCAATCCAAGGTCATTAATGAAGAGGAAAAAAAGACAAAACAGTTTATTACAGTGAGAAGAATGCTGGATTTGGAATCAGAAGACCTTAGGTCCACATTTCTGGCTCTGCTACCTTCTATGGGAACTTAGACAGGTCAGTCTCTCTGAGCTTTAGTTTCTTAATCTCTGTAAGAAGGGGGTCAAACTGGATGACCATTGAGATCCCTTCCAGCTCTAAATCCGTAGTCCTATGAAAGTATAAATAAAGTCCAATGGGAAGAGCCAGAACCAAAGTTACTCAAAAGTCTCGGGTTCTTAACCTGTTTTGTGGCATGAACCCCTTTAGGTATCTGGTGAGACCTATGGATCCCTTCTCAGAATAATGTCTTACATTTATAAAATGAACCACATAGATTTACAAAGAAAACAAATTATATTGAGAAATAATTATCAAAAAATGTTTAAGTAAGTTCAAAGACCGCAAGTTAATAGGAGGAAAATAGAGACACAAATTCAAGGTCTGCAAAAAGAGCCCAGGTACATATCTGGACAAACTTACTGAAATCAGAAGAAAGAACAAATTTTGCCCTTCAAGCTTGAAAAGGGTTGATCATTCTGGACCTTGAAGGCTCGTTCTGGGTTTTATTTATTCATTCCTTGCAATGTAGTACTCACAGAGTAGTAGTGAAGAGCCTGGATGTGTGCAAATAAAGATTATCATGAGAAGGACCTGGGCATACGTCATCCAATTATGCTTTTTAAAAATAAAAAATACAATTTCTGATTAAACCAAGATAGCCATTTACTAGTGTAACTACAAACATATTTATCATGATGGAAAATTAGGTAAAGAATATAATAATTCCATAATTAGTTCCCTGATTAATATATAAGTAGCATTTTAAACCAACCCTGCTTCCTCTTCTAGATTTGACAGAATGTTTCTAACTGACCCTGATTCTTTATCGTGGAGTCAAAAGTCATTTTCTGGTATGTGCCCCCAGATTGGGAACTTCAGGCTGTCTTAGCATCAGAAGCCTTTTTCATGAAGCTACTGCCTTTCATTCTTCGGTTTGGGCAATCATGCCCCTCTGACTGCACTCTTCCTCAACCCATTGCTTAACTACAGTAGTGTGCAAATTAACTGGGACAAAGTAAAATAACTAAATTTACTGAAAATCACTAAACCTTGCAAACTTTTATGTCTTTAAAAATCTTTTAATATTCAATATATCCTGCTTCTGCTTCAACTCCTTGATTTACATAATTAAGCATTGAGTTCATAAGATTTTGACACATATTCTTTAATTTTTCATTATGCAACCACACATAACATTGGATATTAAGTATACCATTCACAGACAGTCCAATTTTCTAAGACTAACCTTGAAAAACCTATAGGTAAGGTTTAAGTCAGGTGAGTTTCCAGGCCACTTGTAGCATGTTTTTCTCCATCTCTTGGATAAATTTGTTAATCTTTCAAGACTTGTAGCATGGTACAAAGTTATATTACAATATTCTATCCCCACTTGGGAATTTCTGTAATTTCAAAATAATTCTGCTTCTCAGTATATTTAACAGAGTTCATCATTTCCTTAATGAGGACAAGGCTTCCAGGCCCAGTGGAAGTAAAAAGTTCCCAGAACTATTTTGGGAATGAATGTTTGAAAGAGAGAGAGAGATGAGGGAGAAACATAAAGAAACAGAGATAGGTGGATGGATAGATAGACAGATAGACAGACAGGTAAACTTTTTATGAAGTACTGATTATGTGCCAGGAATTGTGCTAAGCACTGGGAATATAAGTAAGCAAGGTGGTTCCTACTCCCAAGGAGCTAAATGGAAAAAAACAGATATCTAAAGATGGGCAGAGAAGAGGAGAAGGTACTCATGCAGAAGCTGGTAACAAGGTGAAATCTAGAGAGTGAGTCAAGTTCACGGTAAAGTGAGCAATGGCTGGCACCCCTCATGTCATGGGGGTCTGGGTTAGGGAGTCACCAATCAGGAGAGCAGATCCTCAGGGCTCGGGAAGGACCTAAGGAACCCTCTCCCTGTTTGGTTGTTCTAAGCTGATTGTCCTAAGTAAAAAGAAGAGGGGGCAGTGCTCTGGAAGGGCTGCTGGTCCCATACCCCCAAGAAGGGCTAAATTTCAACAACCTGCATGAAGGATAGGAATGGGAGTCAAGGAGACAGCTCTGATATTAAATTTGGGTCTATGTTTCCTCCTCTATACAATAAGGAGGCTAGACAAAGTGACCTGTAAGGTCACCTTCAAGTTCTGTAAATTTATGAGATTTGGACTCCATTTGCCCCCCATGTCAGCTGCTACTCAATTTCAGTAAAGAGTTAGAGGAGTCTTCCTTTGTGACTTCAGGTAAGTCATTACCTCTCTGTGGGGTTTCAATTTCCTAATGTGTAAAATCAAAGATGTGTATTGATACCCAGTTATAGATCATCCAATTGATACTCTGAAGGTTGGTTTTTTTTTATTTCTTTGATTAATTTGTTTGATATCTGTCAAGATAAATTAGCTCTATATAAAAGTTATTATTGTTATTATTTCAGCACCTTTCCTGAAGTAGCAGTTTGCTATAAAGGTTACTATCCCACCCACTATCCCACACCCAGTAATTAGACTTCTTGAATGTCAAATTGGGGAGAAGGATAGCACAGTGGGTAAGCTTGCCTAAGGTTATACTTACAACTTAATCTTCAAGAATAATCCTTTTGAATAGAGAGCTATCAAACACTTATTTCCTGTGGGGGTAGGTAGACAGGCAGCTTCATGATATCTTGAGATCTCTTTCTCCCCTCAGCAGTTATAACCTTCCTCCCCACCTCCCACATCATGTGACTTGCGCAGGGGTGGGGAACCTGCTGAAGGGCAGCCCTTTGACCGAATCCAAACTTCCCAGAACAAATCCCCTTAATAAAAGGATTTGTTCTGTAAAACTTGGACTGAGTCAAAAGACCGCACCCAAGGACCTAGAGGGCCACATGAGCTCCAGGCTGCAGGTTCCCCACCCAGGTAGTGTTCCTTTTGCAGTGCTTTTCCTGGTTCAATAATTCCTAGTTCTGACTCCACTGCCTAACAGTGGTCTCCAACCTTGTAAAGTCCCTCGCTCTCCTCCCATGGGCCTCTGTTTCCCCATCGATGAAATTAACTTGTGCTATGTGAATCCCAAGGTCTCTCAAGTCTAGCGTTGGGTGACTCAGGCAAAGTATTGAGTGAGCAGAACACAGTATGTACTTAGGCACTTTAAATAGGATAAGAAAAGATAATAACAAAAGGCAAGAGAGTTCCTAAGTATTCATTCAGGAAACATTCACCAAATGCCTTTGCTATTGACAAAACTATGCTAGAAGGTAAGGAACATAAAGGAAGCCAGAGATACCCTCCTTCCCTTGAGAAGTTTACAATCCAGTTACAGAGAATAATCCAGGGCAGCACATAATGTTTGTGACAGAATGGTACAGGATGCTGTCTGCTGGGATGGAATATACTTTCTTGAGATGGAATATACTTGAGGAAGTTTTCATGAAAGAGAAAGTCCAAGAGTAAAAACAGAATGGATCTTTTTTTCTTACCATTAGTCAAGTAATTTAGAAAAATAAAGGCATTGGAAAGTGGGTTTTTTGAAATTTACATTTCACTGAAATACTTAGAATTCTCAGACAAATTGAAAACATTCTCATTGGATGATAAGATTGATCCATGTAAAAGCTCAGCTATCCTTGAGTTATATGATTTCTGAGGTCCCTTCCAATGCTGAAATGCTAATTGGCCAATAACTTTAAACCACACTTGCTATAATTCTGGGAAGTAGTAACATTTACAGACTTCTAGTACTAACCTGGAACTTCCTGGTTAACCTTTAATTTTAGTTCTTTTCTTTGGGAGAACATTTGGACTAGCCTGTCATGGGAAACACTGAATCTATATAAACCAAAGTCTTCAACTCGGTGAAAAGAGGGATCAAATTAGAGGGTGACAGATATTATCCAGTATTTGCTCATGGTCTAGTGATTCTTGGAAAATACCAACACTAATTCAGCATCCTCTAGGAGAATGGAAGGGTGAAGATCTATGTGCTTTGAACCCACAATTTTTCTTCCTTGTGCTTATGGACGGAAAATACAAGTAGGACAGTTACATGTAGAAGTTTGAAGGGAGACAGATGATATGAAAGGGTAGTCACTTAACATTTCTAAGCCTCAGTTTCCTCATCTGCAAAATGGAGATAATAATAGCACCTATCTCACGGAGTTATTATGAGGATCAAATGCAATGACATAACTAAAATACTTGGCAACTCTTGTGATATATAAATGCTAGCTAGTAGTAGTAACAATAATAATAATAATAATATAGCTAAGTGGCACATGGGATAGAGCACTAGGTCTGAAGCCAAGAAATTGTTGCTCTTCAGTCATTTCCAGTTGTGTCTGACTCTCTGAGACCCCGTTTGGGGTTTTCTTGGCAATGATGCTGGAATGATTTGCCATTTTCTTCTCCAGCTCATTTTATGGTTGAGGAAACTGACACAAACAGGATTAAGTGATTTGCCCAGTGTCCCACAGCTAGAAAGTGTCTGAAGTCAGATTTGAACTCAGGAAGAGGAGTCTTCCTGACTCTAAAACCAGAATTCTACCCCCTGTGCCACTTAGCTGCCCAAGCAAGTCAAGAAGACCTGAGTTCAAATCCAGATTCAGACACTTACTATGTGACCCTGAACAAGTCACTTAGCCTCTGATTACCTCAATTTCCTCATCTATAAAATGAGGCTCATAACAGCATCTACCTCCCAGAATTGTTGTGAGGATCCATTGAAATAATAATTACTAAGCACCTAACTTATGCCCTGGCACATAGTAGGTACTATATAAATGTTAGCTATTATTAATAATAATAATGTTATTATTACTAAAATGAGAAAAGGACGCTACTCAATTATTACTGAAGTTCCTTATGTTTTTGATATATCTAGTGTTTAGTTTTGCTTCTATATGAATCATAAGATATATTAAGAGAGAATTTCTTTCACAGAAAAATACTGCAGAGAAACTGCCCAGTATCTACAGATCTTTGACAATCAATACCTCCAAGGAGATGATGTGTTACAGTGATTATCCCATTCCGGACGATTTTCCCAACTACATGCACAACTCCAAAGTCATGGAATACTTCAGGATGTATGCCAAACACTTTAACCTCCTGAAATATATCCGCTTTAAGGTAAAACAGAAATAAAAAAAAACTGTACGATATATAAGTATGAGAGATTTGTTGGATAGCCTAGGGAGGATCAGTGCATTTTAATGAGGGGGTAAGAAATTTTGTTTTCCAGACCCTCTCTTCTGTCATAGCCAACCAGAGTTAGGGAGCAACATAGCGGAAACCTGGATTTCACTAAGTATTTCTGCCTCAAAGCAACCTAAAAAAAAAAAGAAAGGAATCCAAATTTGGATATTTGAAGTCCCCCATCAATCCATGTCAGACTGTGACTTATTTAGCAAACTCTATATCCATTTTCTCTTTCTGCCCAGGAGCTCTTTGGCACATTCCAATGATAATATCATTTCTGTCTGCCTCTGTTTTTCTTCACTCAAATGTTCTCCATTATGCTTCCTTCCTGCCACTCCAAGCCATGTTTTTGATTCTTGGATGTCAACCTATGAGTACATCTTCTTTA